TGCCGGCGATACTGTAACTTTGAAGCATTATAACTTGAAAAGTACTTCATAAAAAAATATTTCATTGTAGCGTTTTGGAAAGCTCTCGACATCAACTATTAGATTCTTGAATCAAAAATAGGATGTTCCATTTAAGAAAATCAATGTAACCTTGACCTGACCTTGTCTATGCAACCTAAGGTCAAATATACAATGCCACCCCTGATCCTGATAGGATCAGGGGTGGCACTCAGTTGGACACGGCTCAATTGGACACGAGCCACTCACAGCGCTTGAGACTACAAAGCTCCTAAGCACCGGTCGCTGTGATTGGTGGTGTCCAATCGAGCTGTGGTCAATCGGGATCACCCCGATATTTAGGTGTCCCGACCTTTTTGGGACACCCTTTATATTAATTAACATACGAATATGTGTATTTTCTACAATTCTGTTTTAAATAATTATAAATTTAATAAAAGCAAGGACTCTACAAATTTAAAAAGCAATACAGGAACGCAGTTAATAGTGCAATTATCCTATATTTATTTAGTTTATTCCATAAACCTTGATGTGATTTCGATGAACGTAACTATAATATAATTTTAACGTTTCGACTCCTCTTTGAGTCATCCTCAAAATGAATTATCCATTGTCAGATCACAAATTCTTGTTCCGTAATCAAATTTTTCGTATAATGTGCGGGTTTCCCAACAGTTGACAAACGATTGGAATCACAACATAAAAATACATAGATAATAAAAATGTTTTCGTAGTAGACAATCATACTGATAAAATAAAGATAAATTTAGAGAATATACGTGAAGCATAACGTCTTGACACAACGGTTTTTAAGTAAAGACTGGAACAAAAGAATTTGTGATCTAACAATGGATAATTCATTCTGAGGATGACTTAAAGAGGTGTTGAAACGTCAAAATTCTTGAAAAAAACCAAATTTATATTATAGTTGCGCTCATCGAAATCAAGGTTTATGAAACAAACTAAATAAATATAAGATAATCGCACTATTAACTGCGTTAACTCCTACAGCCTTTATTACTTTTTATTATTTTAAATAATTATTTTATATGAACCAATATAAATAATCTTATAAATAATCCTACGATAGCAAAAAAAAGACGTTTTGGCTATTTTCAACGTCTAACATGAAAAAGTTCTGACATGTACAAATTATATATCATATTAAATGACTATTTAAGCGGTGTCGCTCATCTTGTGAAAACTTCGAAATCATAAGAGAAATTATGATCAAAAATGATAATGCTATCATATTTATCGGTAAAAACTTATTAAATGGGACATCAAAACATTCCGAGATTCAAGCAACAAGAACTATATTGTTACTTAAACATGTATAACTCGATAAACATTTTATTCAAAACCTGTTTGAAATCAAACTTCATTTATATCGGACTCTTCATTGTTCATCAATCGCTCAAAAATGTTCTAGTTATACATATATGTATTTAAGTAACAGTACAATCAGTAGCGTAGCGAGAAAAATGTTTCGGGAGGGGCGGTAGAAATCAGTTTTTTAAATGTTCTTTTTTATATATAAGTGACACATTTGGTAAGCATAAACAAAAAAGTTTCGTTTAAAACAAAATAAATTCAATAGCAAAAAAGTTATAATAATTTATAATATTTATATGATTTATATACATGTCGTAATGTCGCGTCAAACGTTTCGCTGACGTATAAATTGTCATAATTTTTTTACTATTACATTTAAAGATCTAAAACTTTCCAGAAAACTTCTTCAAATATTCAAATACAATGTAGCATTAATGAAAATTTTTAATTCGTAATACAACTTTAACGTTTGAAAAAGAATTCATCAAACTCGACAAAATATTAAAAATCCGTCAAAAGTATGTTGTAAAGTGCTTCGAAAATTTCGGAATAGCTCTACAAGTCGCAGAATATGTCAAAGATTAGTGTGTAAAAATTTGAATAATAAATATTAATATCCGACTGAAATTTCGCGAGTCGAAGTGCTGCCGTTCTCCCAACGCCACTTTTTGCGATTGTACTAATAGCAACATTTTTCTTCCGTGTAATTTATCGAATTTTTGTTTACGCCAAATACAAAGGACACAATCAACAAATATATTTTTAATACATAATAAACGATATTTTTGCTAATTAAATTAAATGTGAGAACTTTCCCAACAGGATTTAATTTTCTCTCTCAAAACAAATTGATATTTACGGCTCAACAATTTTTTACACATTCTTATGAAATTATT